CTTAATGCTGACTTCCATAGGAACTGTGATGGTTGAGCATACCCTCCTGGAGTTAAATCATTGGAAGACTAAGTATTAGATATCCATTGTACGATAGGCTAGGAGTTCCATGAGCAGAAACTCGCACTTTCCTCCACAAAGCCCATTTAGGAAAAAAAAAAAAAAAAAAAAACATGAATGCAAAGAAAATATTTATACAAACTTATTCCCTCAGTATCAATACTGTGTGCTGCAGGGGAAAACAAAATTTCTTCATTCATTCCTGACATGTTACTAAGATTTTACTAGTGGGAGAATGCAGTTGGCATTCTCGGATCCTCATCACTGCTATCACTTGTAGAAGTTGAGAGAAAAGGGATGCTTGTGGTATAAGGAGACGAAAAGCACGTCTCTACACATGGAAGAGGAGATGAAAACTTGCAGAAGAGTAGACTGGTAATGAGCAAATGGCAGACAGCCTGGAGAGAAGACTTTGAGAGGGAGAAGAATCTAGAATACTATGTGTTGATGAGAAAATCCTCTCCATTTTTTTCATTACCGAATACCTTTCCATAAGAACCCAGTATCTGACCACAGATGATTAAATATTAACCTATGTTAATAAGGTGGAGGTTGGAATTTCAGAGAAATACTCAATTTGGAATATTAAACTTGCTAAAGTTTAATAAAAAAGTAAATTTGCCCAGGCAATCAGAGTTTTCTAGGTACATATGGATTATGATAGTAACTAAAAGCTATTAGTTACTTTTTTTTAAAGACTGGGCAGTTTTCAGGATGGAGAATTTGCCCAATAATTTGTAACTGCTCCTTTTTGACTTTTCTTACAGTACTTATTAGAAATTACAGCTGTTCTCTTTCTTTTTTTTTTCTTTTAGTGAAGCTTATTTTTTCTTCACAATGTATCTATGAGATAACACAAGTCTTATCCTGCAGACAAGACATAGCAGTTTAAATTGAAATAGCAGTTAAAATCCTTATCCTCACAGCCATGCATTGCTGTTCTGTCACTGGTGTTATACACAAGCACTGTCAGAGACTGAAAGGGCTTTGATTTTTGCCCGGCTGACTACGTAAGGGAGAGTGAAACTATCCAGTTAGGGAAAGGAGCAGAGCTGTAGCTCCCCCAAACTGTCACGGAGTTAGAGCATTGGTCTGCCTTCATAGCCACTTGCATTTCTACTGCCTGTCCTTTTCTGCTCCCTGCTGCAGTTTTCCTCTTGAGACTGTCTAATTTTTGCTCCGTTCTACTGCCTTGCAGCAATCCCAGTTCACTGTATCCCTCCCAAGAAGGAGATTCCTTATACTGGTCTATGTTTGCAAAGGTTCCAATGTGAGACTTGAGTTGTTGTTGTTTTTTCCAGTATTCCTAAAAAA